GTTCATATCTTGTGCCCACTTTTTAATTGGGTTATTTGTCTTTTTCTTGTAGACGTGTTGCATACTTCATTTCTTTTTATGGCTGAAAAATATTCCGTTGTATAGGCAGTCCTTGGGTTACAAGTGAGATCCATTACTAAGTGTGTCTTTAAGTCAAATTTGTAAGTAAATTGGAACAGGTGAATGTGGTTCTTGTTAATGAAATAAAAAACTCCAAGCCTTTGCAATGATTGCAGCAAGTGAAGGATGATTGTGATGAAGAATTGGTTACAAGTAGCGGTTTGTTCAAGGAGCCCTGGTATAGTGGGTTATGTGTTGGGCTGCTAACTGTGAGGTAAGCAGCCACTCTGTGGGAGTAAGATGGGGCTTTCTGTTCTCATAAAGATTTACAGCCTCGGAAACCCTTTGAATCAGAACTGACTTGACAGCATACAGCAGCCCGGATTGGTTTGTTTCAAAGTGAGGCAAGTACGCATAACATGGAAAGGCAAGTGTGAGGTGGGTATAAGTCAGCAGTTTATAACCTGGGGAGTTGCTGTATACTGTATAACCACAAATGACATAAACCATGTTTTAGATCCATCAGTTGATGGATATTTGGGTGGTTCTGTCTTTTGCTACTGTGAGTCGAACTGCTGTGAATGTTCACATGCAAGTTTTTGTGAACACCTGCTTTCGATTTTTTTGGATATAAAGTAGGAATAGGATAACTGAGTCCTTTGGGAATTCTCAATTCTTGGAGCTCTGGTGATGCTGTAGGATAAGCACAGGACTGCTAACCACAAGGTTGGCAGTTCAAACCAGCCATTCCTTAAGAGAAAGATGAGGCTTTCTGTTCCTGTAAAGATTTACAGTCTTGGAAACCCTATTACAAAGTTGCTATCAGTCGGAATTGATTTGAGGGTGTTTGGTTGGTGGTGGTATAAGATTCCTATGTTTAACATTTTAGGAGCCACCAAACTATTTTTAACAGTAGTACCATTTTCCATTTCCATCAGCAATGTATAAGAGTTGGAAATGGGAAGACTGCTGCTACATGGAGGGGATTGCAACTAATGTTACGATCAAAACGTGTATAAACTGTTGTGGGAAACCAACAAATAAAGCCAAATATTACAATAAAATGTGCAAAGATCTGGAACCAGAAAACCAAAAAGGAAGAACACGCTTAGCATTTCACAAGCTGGGGGAACTGAAGAAAAAATTCAAGCCTCAACTTTAGTTATTGAAAAATTCTCTGAGCAAATTATTGAATGATGCAGAAAGCATCAAGAGAAAATGGAAGGAATACACATAGTCACTGTACCAAAAGGAAATGGTTAATGTTCAGCTGTTTCAAGAGGTAGCATATGATCAAGAGCCAGTGATACTTAGGGAGGAAGTCCAAGGTGCATTGAAGGAATTGGCAAAAAACAAGGCACCAGGAATTGATGGAATAAAAATTGAAATCTTTTAAGAAAGTGAGGTGGCACAAGAGGCACTCACTCAACTCTGCCAAGAAATGTGGAAAACAACTATCTGGCTGACTGATTGGAAGAGATCCATATTCTTGTCCATTCCAAAGAGAGGTGACCCAACGGAATGTGGAAATTATTGGATAATCTCTTTGATATCTCAAGCAAGTAAAGTTTTGCTAAAGGTAATACAGAAACGGCTACAATCATGCATTGACAGAGAACTTCCAGAGGTTCAAGCCGGATTCAGAAGAGGCCATGGAACGAGGGATATCATTGCTGATGTCTGATTGATCTTGGCTGAAAGCAGAGACTATCAGAAAGATGTTTACCTGTGCTTTATTGACTACGCAAAGGCTTTCGATTGTGTGGATCATGACAAGCTATGGACAACATTGCGAAGTATGATTATTCTGGTACTTATTTGTACTCATGAGGAATCTGTACACTTAATTGTACTCATGAGGAATCTGTACCTGGACCAAGAGGCAGTTGTTCAAATAGAACATGGGAACACTGAATGTTTTAAAATTAAGACAGATGTGTGACAAGGTTGTATTCTTTCACCATGCCTATTCAACCTGTATCCTGAGCAAATAATCCGAGAAGCTGGGTTATATGAAGAAAAACATGGCATCAGGATTGGAGGAAGACTCATTAATTAACAACCTGCAATATGCAGATGATACAACTTTGCCTCCTGAAAGTGAAGAGGACTTAAAACATTTACTGATGAAGATCAAAGAGCACCGCCTACGGTATGGATTACATCTCAATGTCAAGAAAACAAAAATCCTCCCCACTGAACCAATAAACAACATTCTTATCAACGGAGAAAAGATTGAAGTTGTCAAGAATTTCATTCTTCTTGGATCAACTATCAACACTACAGAAGCAGCAGTCAAGAAATCAAATGACGTATTGCATTAGGCAAATCTGCTGCACAAGACCTTTTGAAAGTGTTGAAGAGCAAAGATGTTAGCCTGAGGACTAAGGTGCACTTGACCAAGCCATGGTATTTTCCATAACCTCATATGCATGCGAAAGCTGGACAGTGAATAAGGAAGACCGTAGAATTCATGCCTTTGAGTTATGGTTTTGGAGGAGAATATTGAAAGTGCCATGGGCTGCCAAAAGAATCAATAGATCCGTTTTGGAAGAAGTGCAGCCAGAGTGCTCTTTAGAGGCCAAGATGGCCAAACTTCATCTTTCATACTTTGGAAATATTGTCAGGGGAGACCAGTCGCTGGAGAGGGATATCATGTTTGGTAAGGTCAGAGGAAAAGAGGAAGACCCCCAATGAGATAGATTGGCCAAATGGTAGAATCGATGGACTCAAACGTGGCAACAATAGTGAGGCTGGCCCAGGATCCGGCAGTGTTTCGTTCTGCTGTGCATAAGGTTGCTATGGATCGGTACTGACTCAATGGCACCTAACAACAACAACAACATATTCATCAGGGATACTGGTCTATATTTTTCTTAGTGATGACCTGCCCTGGTTTTGGTGTGAGGGTTATGCTTGCTTCATAAAGTGTATTAGCAAGTTTTCCAATCCTTGTCTATATTCTTGAATAATTTGAGTAGAATTGGTGACAGTTCTTCCCTGAATGTTTGGTAGAACTCACCCATGAAGCCATATGGGCCTGGACTTCTGGTTGGGAGTTTTTTGATGACCTGATCAATTTCTTCTTTTGTTCTGTTCAATTTCCTACTTGTGTCTGTTCAATTTCCTACTTAAGTCTGAGTAAGTTTAGGTAGGTTTTGACTTATAGTGACCCTTGTGCAACAGAACAAAACACTGCCCTGTCCTGCACCATCCAGTAAGATTACATTTTAAGAGCTATGCAGTTACTATATATCATTTGAAATGTTAGATTTTGCTATGCACCATTTCCATTTTCAGAGATGTACTATATGTACCAGAGTAAAATCCTGTGTATTTTAGAGTGGTTGTTCAGAATGCTTTGCAGATATTAACCAATTTAGAACTTCCAGCTACCCTGTGTATTAAGCACTGAATTCTGTGGTGTCCTGGTGGAATTGAAGTGACAGCAACATCCGATTCACCAGCAATCTCTTACCTGGTAGTATCCATTGAATCTTGTTTGGGTCGCCTCATTTTACAGGTGGGCCAACTGAGCACAGAGAAATGAACATTTTAGAGTCAGAAAGTGGTAGAGACAGGATTTGAACCCGGGTGGTCCATCTCCAGAGACCTTTTCTGTCTGACTGGTCCCCTCTCTTGCGTGCCCAGCCCCATGTATCAGCCTCTCAGTTTCCACACACCCTGTTATGTCCTCCCCGTGATCTGGCTCAGAGGTGAGCAGTGCGCGACGCTCCCTTTGCTCCAGCAGGAACAGTGCTGGGACTTTCACATGTTAGAAAATGGCGACATTCGTGATTTATAGTTGCCATCCTGAAAAGTCCTGATTTTCTTCATTTCTCTAAACCATTTTAAAATAGATTTAATTAAACACGTGTGTTCTAGTCTCGTAGATTTACCAATTATTAAATTTTGCCATACCTGGGACCATTTGAGGATTAGTTCAAGATCCCTGAACACTTATTTCAGAAGGTATTTGTAAGATCGTACGCAGGAGATCTGTCATTGATAAAATACTGTTGTCTGATATGTAGTCCCTAGGCAGAGTTCTAAGGAGCCCTGTTGACACAGTGGGTCAGTGCTCAGCTACTATCTGAAAAAGCATGGCAGTTTAAATCCACCAGCAGCTCTGCAGCAGAAAGATGTGGCTGTCAGCTTCTGTAAAGATGACAGCCTTGGAAATGCTATACTACTATTCTATTGTGTCCTACTTCAGGCCCCGCCGAAGAGATTATCTGCTGGTGGGTTCCAACCACCTGCCTTTCAGTTAGCAGCCAAGTGTTCAAGCCACTGTGCAACCAGGCCTCCTTCAAGTAGACATCAGTCTTTGGAGATACAGTGAGACTTGTGAGAGACAAAACTGGATGAGACTGCCTTGTTTTTCTTGTTCTTGCAAGATTTCTACCTTTGACAGGATGCAGCTCCCCACTTGCCTGTTGCTCTGTATAAGTGGGATATATTTGTGTTCTCCTTCTCTGATAACTTTCTACCTGACCCAGGTTCCAGCTTGCCTAGATTTTACTGTGGTAGAAATCTTATGTGACTGCAGGCTTCCCTGTCAGACCTGGACCACACATACACCTCCGTACAGGGACCTAGCAGGACCTGGGAAGGAGTGAAGCAGGCCAGGTGTGGTCTATGCTGCCCGGACCCTGTAGACCTGTCCTGAGGGAGCGATGCCATGGAGAGAGCACCATGACTGCCAGGCTTCTCAAGAGCAGCCAGACATCTAGGTTTTATATGAGTCCTTCTAGGTTTAAAAGGTTAGCAGCTGATTCGATTTTATTTTTAAACCCATGAGTGTTGATTGAACCATGTGTGCAGGCTGAACATGGCTCTCGAGTCACTAGTTTATATAGTCTGTGGTCTAAAATTGACATTACTGGGGGCACAGAGGATTTTTTTAGAGCAGGGCTACTTAACCCTCTTGGTGCAGTGAATCCCTTTGGCTGTCTGCAGAAAGCTATAGGCCTCTTCCCAGATAATGTCTTTAAGGGTATAAAAAACATATAGTATTACAAAAGAAACCAATTGTATTCAACTACAGTTATAAAAATCATTAAAATTGGAGTGTGTGTACTTTTATGTTAATGTAAAATGTTAATCACCATAATTTGTAAATACTGTGAGAATAAAGCGATGTTTTGAGGTAATGGAAACCAATTGTAGAATAAATGAAAACACCTATTATCTGTTATCCGTCACACTGTTAATATGGTTCTACTTTGTTAGCCACAGTCATTATTGAAAGCAATATTCAAGTTCATCTAGAAACCAGTTAAAGCAAAGATGTGCTTTTTTCCTTATCCATGTTTACTGATCCAAAAGAGTTTCAGGTTAAGAACCGTTGGTTCACAATAATCTGGACCCTATACAATAGCAGAAGTCCTGGTGTGGCACTGTGGGTTAATGCGCTGGATAGCAAAGTCATTTGAACCACAAGGTTGGCAGTTTAAGCTCACCAGCTGCTCCTCGGAAACCCTGTACATGGGTTGGAACCAACTCAGTGACAACATACAGTAGCAAGACTCACGGTATAGCGCTGTAGGATCAGCACTGGACAGCGAACCACAAGGTTGTCAGTTCATACCCACCAGCTGCTCCTCGGAAACCCTATACAAGGTCACTATGAGTCAGAACTGACTTGACGGCACTTAACAACAACCACACATAGTAATATATATATATATGGTGGTGGTGAGGACAGTGAAGCAGTCTACCATCTTGTGATCCATTTGTTAATATTCTGGTTACTGAACTTGATTCTGTGTTTTTCCTTAGAACGTTATCATTTGTCTTATAAGATTGTGCGAACGGACAGTCGCCTGGTACGCAGCATTCTGACAGCCCATGGATTTCATGAAGTAAGCCCAGTTTTACCTCTCATTCTTGTTAATTGCCATTGAGTTGACTCCAGCTCCTGGTAGCCTTAAGAATAACAGGACGAAATGTTGTTTGCACCTGCGCCGCCTTCACGTTGGAGCCCATGGTTACAGCTGTTGTATCAGTGATGCTGATGGGTTTCATGAAGTAAGCTCATTTTGACTTCCTTACCTAATTTGTGCAACAGCTGAAATCCAAGCCACCGAAGTGACTTTGCCAATTAACCAGGACAGCTCTAAAGTACAAGGGACCCATAATGCCTAGTGATGTTGAGAACTTGAATTTAAACATTTTTACAAATTTCTCCTAGTAGTACATGACAAACATTTCCACACACACCCCCCCCCTTTTTTTTTTTTCTTGGCGGAAAAAAGACTCTTGGTGTGACCCTAAATTAGGATCAGCAGTGGACTGCGAACCACAAAGTTGGCAGTTCAGACCCAACAGCTGCTCCTCGAACACTCTGTGCAGGGTTGCTATGAGTTGAAACCGACTCGAAGGCACTTAACAACAACAATAAATGGCAAGCAACAGAATTGGACTCTGGCTAACCTAAGCCAGAAGGGACGTATAGGAAGACTATGGACAGGGTGGCTGACATACCCAGGGGAGTAGCTGGAAAGGCAGGCTGTTGGAAGGAGACAAATCACAACACCTCTGAGATCTGGGAACAGGAATCTTCAGGTCCTCAAGGAAGCAATCAACTCTACTATACAGGAGGTGGAATGACTGATTGAGTTGGGTCATGGATCCAGTCCTTTGGGGAAAGGCTGAGTGGGTTATTGGCAGATCTTTTGAAACCAAGGAGTAAGTTCCCTAAAGAGATATAGAAAAATTGGGGAGTTGTCACCAAAAATGGGTTGTGCAGATTTCCAGTTGAGGTAGTGAGACAATTGAAAATTGATTGCTCGACTTTTCCTTATCTTAGTCTGGAGTAGAGGTTTAGAAGCAGTTCTAATACCAGTTAATTTCCTGTCTTGTCTCATTTATCTTCATTGCTTAGCATGGTGGTTGTCACATCACAGACATAGATATGCACGTGTTCCATGAATAGACAAATGAATTCCAATGAATGAATAAGTGAAGTCTAAATTGGCCTGCCTCTATAAAATTTTAGATCTGATTAGTACTGTATGTTCTTGTTGTTGTTAAGTGCCTTTGAGTCGGTTCTGACTCATATCGACCCTTTATAGGCCTTCCAAGCAGTGACTGGTAGATTTGAACCACCGACCTTATGTTTCAAACCAACCTTACGGTCCAGTGCTTAGCCTACAGTGCCACACCAGGGCCCAGTACTGTATGGTCAGCATGTAAAAGGACATGAGGATGATCTGAGAAAAGAGTTTCGGGGTTGGGCCCTCATACTTTGATCTGTAGGAATATCAGACTAGAGGTGCAGCGGGTTAGGTGTTAGACTGCTAACCTCAAGGTCAGCAATTCAAACCCACCAGGTTCTCTGTAGGAGAAAGATGAGGCTTCGTGCTCCTGTAAGGATTTACAGTCTTGGAGACCCTATATAGGGTCGTTATAAGTCGGAATTGATTGATGACAGTGTTGTTGTCATTTTTAATAGACAGTTTAATTTATTTTACTTTTGCACCTTGGTTATTCCATGTTCTGAGATCCTCGACTCACATCCTATCTAGGCCACATCCTAGACTGCTCTGTGGCTGAAAACCACAGTGACCTTTCCTGCCATTGTTTTCCTGGAGAGGGGCTAACTCTGACGGTGTTTACTTCCTTGTCTTCTTATGTGCCCCCAGGTTCACCCGAGCAGCACGGACTATAACCTAATGTGGACTGGATCCCACCTGAAGCCCTTCTTACTTCGCACCCTCTCTGAAGCACAAAAGGTTAATCACTTTCCCAGGTAATACTGTTGTAGCTGCTTTGGAGCATGTAACCACAGTGATAATTAGTGTCAATAAAAACACTAGTCTGTGATATAGGGCAACAGTTTGCAAATCAAACCAAGGTATTTATATCTCTGGGGATATCTAAAGACTTTCTTAGAGCTTTGTTGACATGGATGCTTTAAAATGAGCCAATTCCTGGATCCCAACTCCCTTAAATTCTCTCTCTTAAAATTGAGTTGCTTGAGAGCACTTGATTTCCTCCTTTCTCTCCTCCTTTCTCAGTTGTTTTCCCTTTTATGAAAGAATGACTCATCTAGAATCTCAGTAATGTCCATGGGTGTAAAAATGTCAAGGGATCCAAACAAACATTCTACAATGAAACCTGGTCTCTAATTTGAGTTTTAGTGTTAGCATGACAAATTGGTTTTGCATGATAGTGAGTTTTGTTTCTTTGCTCTTAACAAAATTGAAGTAGGACATGATCAAGTTGTCAGCTAATAGATTCTTAAATATAATTTTTAACGACAGGTCATTTTGCGATTTTTGATGTACAACTAAGAGGGAGGTCAAAGAATTGAGTGGCATAGTGCCGTAGTGGGCTATGCATTGGGCTACTAACCACAAGGTCAGCTGTTCGAATTCACCAGCTGCTCCATGGGAGAAAGATGAAGCTCACTGCTCCTGTAACGATTTACAATCTCGCAAACCCTTTACAGACAGTCACTGTTGCTGTAAGTCAGAACTGATTTGACTGCACACTACAACAACAGTGGCCATGATCTTAAGACTGCAATGATAATCCAATATTTATGTAAAGATGTAAGACAACTCTATATATATAGTCTTATCAATGGATAAAAGACTGAAGTTGTCAAGGACTTCATTCTTGGATCAACTATCAACACTCACCGAAGCAGCAGTCAAGAAGTCAAACGTCATATTTATTGCATTAGGCAAATCTGTACAAGACCTTTTGAAAGTGTTGAAGAACAAAGATGTCAGCTTGAGGACTAAGGTGCGCCTTACCCAAGCCATGGTATTTTCAATAACCTCATAGGCATGCGAAAGCTGGACAGTGAATAAGAAAGACCGTAGAAGAATTGATGCTTTTGAGTTACGGTGTTAGAGGAGAATATTGAAAGTGACATGGGCTGCCGAAAGAACCAATAGATCCGTTTTGGAGGAAGTGCAGCCAGAGTGCTCCTTGGAGGCCAAGGGCCAAACTTCGTCTCTCATACTTTGGACATATTGTCAGGAGGGACCAGTCGCTGGAGAAGGATATCATGTTTGGTAAGGTGGAGGGTCAGAGAAAAAGAGGAAGACCCAAACGAGATGGACTGGCCAAGTGGCAGCATCGATGGACTCAAGCGTGGCAACAGTAGTGAGGTTGGCCCAGGATCAGACAGTGTTTCATTCTGCTGTGCATAAGGTCGCTTGAGTCAGTTCTGACTGATGGCACCTAACGACAACATACATTCACTCACACACACACACACACACACACACATATATTGCAACTATAGCCTTATGAAAGGAATTCTGGTAGCATAGTGGTTACGAGTCAAGCTGCTAACCTCAAGGTCAGCAGTTCGAAACTGTCAGCTGTTCTGTGGGAGAAGGATGAGGTTTTCTTCTCCCGTAAAGATTTACAGCCTCAGATACCCTATACAGGGTCACTGTGAGTCAGAACCAACTGCACGGTACATCACCAGCACCACCATAGCCTTATGATCGCAGGGAATTTGCGAAAATCTTATCCAGTGAAACCTGTGAGAGCCGGGACTGCCTAATTTTTCTGACACTCATTTTTCCACCTTTAATAGGATGCAGTGTTAACACTTTTCTACCATTATTTCTAGCGGGATATGTTTGCATTATTCTTCTCTATTAGGTTTCCATTTTACACAGGTTCTGGCTTTTGCAGATTTTATTATGTTATCAATTTATATACGTATTTTTGTTGTAGAGAGGTATGTTAATTTAAAAGATTACAAGTATTTTAAATATATCTTCTTGTTGCTAAATGCTGTTGAGTTAGTTCTGACTCATCGTCATCCCGTATAGGGTTTCCAAGGAGCAGCTGGTAGATTTGAACCACTGTCCTTGCAGTTAGCAGTGCAGCGCTGATCCTCCTGTGCTACACCAGGACTTTGGGGAGGTCCCTAGGTAGTACAGATGGTGTGGACTCGACTGCTTAACCTTAAAGGGTGGTGGCTTTGAGCCTTCCCGGTGGCACTGTGCAAACTAGTCTCAGCAGTCTGATTCCATAAAGATTAAAAACCCTGTCGAACACCTTCTACTCTGTAGCACATGGAGTTGCCATGAGTCAGAACCAACTCATGGGCTTGGTTTCACTCTTTTGGGGAAATGAAATGGAGAAATTAGAAACCAGGGTGAGTGGGGTGATGATATCTGTGAAGTATGAGCAAGATTCTGGGGTGCTAAGAATGACCTCTCTCTTGAGCTGAGCCGTGGTTACACAGGGGTCTTCGCTTTGTAAGAACTGATCCTGCTCTGCACTTGTGATTTGTGTACTTTTCTGTATTTATGGTAACTTTCGTAAAAAGTATACTAAAAATGAAAGATTTACTGGGGGAGAAAAGCTTTTTCTTCAATAATGGTTTCAAAACCTGAATGATCATGGGTATTGAAGACAGCTGTTACTTAGATTCCCTTTAATGCATTTATACGCGTGATGTTGCAATTTTATTTTTATTTTAAACAATATTTACCATTCACCAGATACTTTGAATCAATTTAACTTTAATGATGAAAAAAATCTTAGATACATTCTCAAACGTGAAAGGGAATAGATACATTGTTTCCCAAAATTCATGCAAATTCATTCAAGCAAAAAAGTTTGAAAAGACTGTTAATATTGGATATCTTTTCTTTTTTTGTAATGTTTTATTGTGAATTATGTGATAGTTTACATGGGAGATAGCTTTACATTCCTCCTATCCTATATCGTTTCATTGCCATGAATCCCCTCCATGCATCATCAACCAACCAAAGGGTATATCCTACAAGCCTGTCCTCTGGTCATCAGCACACAGCCCCTCTCCCTCTCTGGGTCTAGAGTCCCCAGCCGCTCCCATCTTTCCACGTCATCTCTGCCCCCATCTCTGGCGTCACTGTTTCTCTGAATAGGGTCCTGCACTCCACTTTTCTCCCTTGATGGTCCCAGGGACCTCCGTTCCTAACTGCAAAGTCGATCACTCCCCTCCTTTTGCTACAAAACGTCTACTTTTACATTTTCAACCCTCACAATCATGGACATCTTTTCTTATCCTCTGGTTATGCATTTTTAATGCCCTGATGATAAGATTTTCCTGGAGTACTATTTAAAAATACACATCCACAGGTCCTATTGCAGACTTAAGGAATCACCTTTGCCAGAGGTTAATATTTAAATGACCCCTTCTAGATGCTTTATCTTTCCAGGTAAATATACACTAGAAAGCTGTGCACACACTCTCAGTTATCAGCACAGTTAGGCTCCAGAGACAGGTCATTATATGAAAATTGCATTATGCAGAAATGGAAGATGACTACATCATCACATAACTGCTATACTACTGAGAATCACAGCCTAGCCAAGTTGAGCCCTAATCTTAACCATCGCAACCAGCGTCACTCTGGCTGGTGTTCGCTACTCACAGATGTACAGTTTAAATGCACAAAAGAGTCAGATAGTAGATTTTTCACTATTGTTATAAATGTGAATTGTTGGCCTAACGAGATGGGTTGTTAAGTGAGGAGTCGGTGTCCATCAGTAAAGTTTGGAAATTACTGTCCTAGACTAAGTCAGTGTTATATACAGGCTGTGGTCCCTGGGCCATCTTTATCTGGAATACTTGGGGTACTTGTGTGAAATGCAGGCACTGGAAATCATTGCAGAATTTTGGGAGGTTACACCCAGGAACATACATTTTTAAGGAGCTCTCCTGTATATTAAAAACTGAGTAACTGTTTTAAATTTCTGAAGGGGGCAGTGGATAAGAAAGAGGTATTTGTGATACCTAAATATAGCAAACCAACCTTTAAGACATCATAGTAAAGTTGAGCTGAGGATGGATAGGTATTTCATAATTAGAGCCCAGATGCTAAGATTTTTTTTCCCCTCACATGTGGATTGAGAGAAGGGTTATAGATAGAGCAGATCATCAGCTTTCCATCCACCAAGTCATACTCAGTTTAATCTCGAATGCAGTCTCCTCAATGCGGCCTCACTGTCCCACATCCTGTGGTTCTGCTTTCCATTCCTTCTCCTTTGCCCACCTTTCTGAATATTGTCCTTAGGTAAACGCTGCCTTTTTCATCTCAAATTGTTAACTGGTCTATGTTGTGCATACCTCACTAATTTTGCTAGTGTTAGTGTCCACTCCCCAGTCCCCCCAGTAAACCTATTGCCTGACTGAAAATTGGGTAACTGGGTGAGTTCAATTCCAGACCCAAAGGGTGACCAAGAGCCATAGACTCAAGGTTCCAATAAAACAGGTTTTTTTTCGTTTGTTGATTTTGAGTTTTGTTCCACATTTTCTCCTACCCTATCTCGGGATCTGTGATCCCTTTCTGAGCAGTTGGCAGTGGTAGCCTGGCACCATGTAGTTTTTCTGGCTTCACGGTTATGGAGACTGATGTTCATATGGTCCATTAGTCCAGGGGACTAATTGATTCTAAGCCTTTTCATCACCTTTCTTTCCTCTACACAGGGAGAGACTGGTGCTTGCACTTTAGATGACTACTCATGAACATTTAAGATCACAGTTACGACTCACCTAAGTAGGATGCAGAACGTTGTCTTTGGACCATGATATCCCCTAAGATTATGGTCCTGAGCCTCCATGCCAAGCAAATGCCTCAAGGTGTCTGAGATGGTTTATAAATAATGAAACAGACCTTAAACTCATCAGTCCATTTGAGTCTAAGTGAAGTGTCTTTTTGGAGTACACCATAATACATTCCTAATGCGTTGTTGTTAGGTGCTGTCGAGTTGGTTCCAACTCATAGC